AAAATTAATGCCAGGCTGAATTGTAGCATATGAAATCTTCATCCTAGAATGACTGGTTTTATTTAAAACATTTATTTCAATCATTTAAAGCTGCACAATTATGATGAAACTGCATTATATTGGTTTCAAATGTTATCTGATATATGTTCTCATGAAAACAACTTGCACTGAATTTCATTTTTCCTCTGGAATATTTATCCATCAAAGTCATAAATTCCTCAAGATTATCTTGGCACAGAGTGCAGAACAAAGATGCAGCCTTTCAGTGCTCATTAATACAAACAGTCCTATTGTAATTCTGAGGAATTGGAAATTCCAGAAATAACTATGAACAGAAAAAAAAAGAACTAAATTCCACCTTTCCTGTCTCTTCAATGGTTAAGTTACTTAAGCCCTTGGTGTCTTCTTGAACAATAATGTAACCTTGGGTTACATTTTTTTACTATTTAAAAACATTGAAATAAATATGTATATAAGTATGTATATAATTAGAATCTCAAATGGAAAGTGTCAGGATCAAAAATAAACCTAGAAAAATATCCTGGCTCATGATGTATGGCATTAGAGGAGCAGTTCTGTCCAAACTGATACATTTCCTCATGGTAATAATAAATAATCACCAAAGAAATTATGTATTCTAGGAAAACACCTCAAAGGAAACATGGGCAGATTTCCAGGCTGCTCTCCTGCAAACCTGGCTGTGAGCAAATTGTGCCACCACAGAAGGCAGAGTTCAGCATCAGCTCAACTGCCTACATGGACATCAAACACATCTTTCTTTTTCATCTGAACTTCCTTGTAGAGAGTTACAGCACAATTGTTCTAATTTCAGTTTTTCTGTTAGGTAACAACATCATCTAAACATCTTTGTGCTGTTTCATCCCAGCTCCAGCCTGTCAGCACATGGAAGTTCCAGATTCAGGGGTTCTGTGTGCCATTATCAAAGCACAGCAGGTCACCAGCAGAATGCAAACAGTGCAACAGGAGCAATTTTAGCAGAGTCAGAACGTGCAACAGATGAACAAAGTGAACCATGAGACACCTAGTGCTCAAAGATTTCTTCATTCCCAGCTGTGCCTTTTTTCACTTCTTGTTGTTTGCATCTTAAAAAGTTCTGTCAGGAGAACTCTTCCTGCCCCAGAGAGGGGCTCCTGATTTATGAATGACAGCGAGTTAAGGAAGATCTTTGGGGTTTCCCTAGCAACAAACCCATCCCAGTGCTTACTGCAAGAAGACCCAACAAATTCACAAAGTTATTTGTGATAACTCCTCCGGCCACAGTCTGAGTCAACAAGGTCATCTTGGAGAGCTGCTGCCATTTTTGAGCACCATTCCCCTCTCTGCAGATCACACTTACCTGCAGTAGGATGCTCACAGACATCAGCCTTCCTTCCTTTTCTCAGGGAAATTATCCCTTAAAAACTCAATCATGTGTCCACAACAGCAGTGCAGGCATTATAATAAAAAACAAGGCCCAAACCCATGCTGACAGCAGCACATTTCATGGTCAGTAACCCCTTCCTTCTCATCACTGCCTGCTGATACTGAACCTCCAGATAATAAAAGTTTGAGAAAGCAGTGGATTAAAGTGGATTCACCACAAGTACTGCAGCCAAGGATTTTTTCAGGGCTGGTGTCCACAAGATGCAGAGTGTAATGAGTTCCTGTGCTCCATTACTTGTGTTATGGTAACCCAACACTTTCCAAAAGCATTTTCTTTCCTGTCTAAAAGGATTTTCCTGTGACTGCTGTAGAGAACTTCAAGCCTGAGCTACTTTTTACATGTCCAGTGCCTTCACAGAAGTGAATCTGACAGATAAAATAGAACTCTTGTGGTGGGGTTTGAAAAAGATGAACATGTATTTTTGTTTTTCCACGTCATGGTCCTGCATTGTCAGATGCAAAACATATATATATATACGTGAATATATATACACACAAACATATGAATATACCTATACACACACATATATATACACACACACACATTGCACACCTCTTTGTGGGGGTCACTCCTCTAGCAGTTCCTGAGGTTGCAATTTGATGATTTCTGCCTGTGAGCTGCAGTTGTGGTGCTCCCCAACTAAACTGGGAGCTTCTGACTGAGGCAACCAAACCCGGAGAAATCTGGCCCAGAAAAACATAAAATACAAAATAAAAAACCAAAACAAACCTTCCCCCACCACCCCCAAATCTTTTTGCCTCTTTAGCTCCAGATTAGGGATCAAGGTTTGGCTTTATTTTTAAATGACAGTAAGGTTTTAGTCCAGCATCATTCACATCAATACTTGTTAATCACCTGCAAGAAATAATTGCTATTGCAATTTTTTCTCTAAGCAATCCTTCAGATCTTTTGAGGAATGGTTTTCCAACACCACCATACATGGACAGTGGATGCCTGTCCAACTGGGTATTATTTCTTATAATATTTGCTTAGATTCTCTAATAAGAAAGTTCTTGTAAAGTCATATAAGTTTATATATTAAAGTCTCCTTGAAGGAGAGACTGCAAAATAAAATTCATGCTTGTAGAGTTAATAATGCATTATTCATCCTAGAGGAATGCCTCTATAACAGCCGTCAGAAAGCACAACCAAAGTACTGAAGCTTTTAAACAAAGAGGGAGAAAATCACACCACCAAACAAACAAAGAAAAACAAAACCCCCAAAGAAAAAATAATCCAACAAAAATACATTAAAAAACCCCACAAAATACTTGGAAATTAAGGAAAAAATACAAAGTTGAAGTCTCTTTTATGACCTTAATTCATGTCCATTCTGCCCTCAGCAGAGGATGCTAGAAGCTTATCTGCAGAAACAGAGCAGGAGTTGTTTGAAATGTCAGCTCTACAAGCAAAGATCCCATGCATAGAAAAGAACACTGGAAATGGACATCAAGATCATAAACTGATAACCAAATGCAAAAAGTTATTTAAAAAACCAAAACAACACAACTATTTGAATTATTTGTAATTCTCTCCATGGCCACAACAATCTGTAAGCACAGCTGTGAAGCTGCCAAAAAGCTGTTTAATTGAAAGTCTGGCACTTACTCAATTTTTAAAATGTGATCTTAATTGCTAAAAATGAGGGGGAAGAACATTACTTGCTTTTGGAGAAAAAGAGATAACTATTTTGATCCATCATATGTATGAATGATAAAATGCCCCAACAGAAATATATTGGTATTTGGAACTAAATGCTAAAACGCCAACTCTTCAATACCGTAATTCACACCCATTTACTTGACCCTTAAAATTTCCTTCCCAAGGGATCATTTCCCTGTTTATCCCAGCCAGCAGTTCAGTTCTTACAAAGCTGAGCTGTGGTCCAGAAAAGACATTAAATTAAAGCCAATTAAAGATTCTTCCCTTTTGTGTCTTGGCAGAAGGATTCACACTTTTCCACCTTGAAACTCACATTACTGTGGGCTTTTCTGAATGGACACTTTTCCCCTGTGCTAACAGACTTAGTAAGTGCTCTCTGTTAGCCTGATTAAGTCAGTCAAAACCTGAGGAGAGATTCTAAATAAATTCACTGGGCATTGGGTCAGCAAAATGTAAATTAAGTAAAGGTGCAGCTCATAGGAATCCTGCAAGAAGTGGCTGTTCCTTTACCCTCATGGAGCTCAAGGAGAGTTGAGGACATCAGGTCCTCAATCTGTGACTGAGATCTAAGAACTTTTCAAAGACTACCACGTATGTTTGAAAGCATCAGTGTGTTGAGTGACATTTTTTCCACATGCTGTAAAAAAAAATTCTGCTTCCTAACAAGCTGAGACTTTTCTGAAATATCTAGCAGCCCTATTCAAGGTTTTCAGAACAGACGTGGGTCCTTAAATATTATTTTGTGATGGGGAAATCGAACTTTTCTAGTCTGAATTTAAAGCCATTGTCCTGATGAATATAAAAGTAAAATGAAATGAAGGTAAAAATAAAAACACCCGTGGATATTAGTTATGTAGCACTCTGATTTACCTTTCTTACCTCTCCCTCCCCCAATAACCATTTCCATTACCCATACTGGGGTTTGGGAACTTGGTTTAGCCTGGCAGTAACACAGGTACAGGGGCACAGTGTGTGCCTGCAGTCTGCTCAGGGGACACATGCTCAAGATCCCAATTTTCAGGAAAAATCCCAGATCTTAATTGCTCTGCAGTTAGTGTGGCTGAGGAAAGAGGTTCTTAATTTGTCTGGCTCCAGCAGAAATGTTTTTCAGGTTAATTCAGTAAGGAAAGGTTGAGGGTTTTTTTTAAACAGGAAGCATTCCCTTCTTCAAGATTGGATTATAAATGATCCGGAATGGTTAAACAGCAGCCACAAAGCAGGTCTGACATTGAAGATCATGATGTTGTGACTCTGTTGCTCTTGCCTGCAGCCCGGGAGCACAGGGAGGGTTTCCCTGGCACAGAGCCACAGGCCTGGGTGCACCCGGGCTGGCTCCCATGGGAGCCCCAGCAATGCCCCTGCCCTGCATTCCTGCTGCCGGGAGGAACGCGACAGGCACCGTGCCCAGCCCCAGAGAGACCAGCACGAGTCTGCCCAGCCACCCAGCACAGCTCTGCAGTTCCTGGAATCCTGCTGCCCCTGGAGCACACTCCTTCCACCCGGGCTGTGCTGGCTGAGCTCCAGAGACTGCAGTCAGGACAGCACAGAGCGGTGTCTGCCAGCCTGCATCACCAGCTCTCCATACCTCCTTTCACAATGAGACAGCAACACCACTTCCTTTCCCCCAGATTTTTCTAACCAGGCAGGTGAGAGCAGGAATGAGCCCTGGCTGCACTGCACTTACAGTGACTGTGCACCTCTGGGATTATCTCTGGGTGGTTTGAAGTGCTATATTCTTGAGTATCTGACATGGCCGGGTCAGCAAGGATGTGGGCTGAGGAACAAAACACCAGACACCTGTTTTCTTTTCACTTTACTTGCCTCTGTTATGCTGAAATAATGTACTATGGCATTTTTCCCAGGAATCTAATGAATATTTCTTTTTTTCTTTCAGCTACGACGAATGTGTGGGGCCAGGAGCAACACAAATATATATTCCCACAGATGATCCCCCTCCATATTCCCTTATGGACCCTTGCCAAAGAAATGAAATACCTTTAAATATCTGTATCAGGCAGGAAGAGGAAGCAGCACCTGGGACTGCAGGACGGGCTGCACGTTGTGCCGTGGGGCTGCAGGACTGGCAGCAGCCCAGCTCAGGAATCTCGGTGATCTCCCAGGGCGGAGGCTGCTCCCCTACACGGGACAGTGGTGTGTGAGCTCAGCCTGCTCCAACAGAAACACGGGACAGCCTCCCACTGCCCAGCAGAGCCCACATCGTGCCCATGAAAGTGGCTCTTTCCTTTAGTTCTTCTGAAGAACTCAGACCAATGGAAGAATAAAACCTCTGGATGTTTTACCAATTTTATAGCTTAAAACAGGGATACAATGGGATTTTTTTACAGTGAATTTTGCAAGTTTACCTAAATTTCCCTGTTTGTGCTTCAAAGTGTTCCATGGCATCACATAGCATAAAAGAGCAGCAGAGACAAGCAGTGCATCTGACCTTTTTGGAGCATTGCAAAAACCATTGAAATCAGCCACTCATCACGAAGATAAATGTTATCCAGTCAAGCCTACTTGTTGATTTTAGGGTACTTTCCATGTTTTAGAACAGAAGGAAAAAGAAGAGCATTTTGTTGTCATTGTAGGTGTCACTAGTACATCTCATTCACTGTATTGACAAAAAAGCATTTTTAATATCTCTTTGTCTAACTATGTGTTTCAGTAGGCAAAACACTGCCTAAAAAAAGATGATTATCAGTACCATGTAGGAGCAAAAGAAAAAAGTAATCATTATATTTTAATATTCACATTATTCCTTTGGCACCGGGCTTTCCAGGCCATTGCAAAGCCTGCTGCAAGTCTTCCTCAGAAGAAACCATGCACAAGTGGTGGAGAGGTGGCAGTGTGGCCCCAGAGGCTGGGGCTGCACATCCTGCACAGGCCTTGCTGCAGCCAAGGGAAGGGCACAGGAATCCTAGAGGATGCATCAGGTCAATTCCCACACACAGCTGCATTGCCAGGCACAAACAAGTGTCTTTTTGCATAAGGAGCCTGGATGTGACCGTGTGACCACAGTGACCTCTAGGAACTGCGAGAGATGCTGGGCTGGGCACAGGAACAGAACCTCAGGAGCGTTCCCAGCTTTGAGAGGAGGGACCAGGAAAAGGAACCCAACGAGTGAGCCCAGGACACTGGGATGGGAATCCGTGGGTTCCAGGCCGGTGTGCCAGGGCAGTGGGAGCTGGGCTGGGGGTTCAGCTCAGGCACAGCAGTGTAAGGGCACAGCAGCACCTTGTCCCCAGGGACGGCTGTGGCTGCACTCGCTGCTCCCACGGAGCCTCCCCTGCACCAGCCCGGCCAGGGGACACTGAGTGTGGCACCGAGGGGCTCCCAGAACAGGCACTGGCTCTGGGGCGGGCAGGGCAGTGCAGATCCAGACCCCCAAGGGCACCTCCTGCTCCTTTTTCCCTCCTGGGAGCTGCTGGCCAAGCCCCAGGCTGGGCACAGCTCCCGGGGCTGGGTTCGTGTTTCACAGACAACACATCCCCTGAGCTCCTGTCTGTGCACCCCGAGCTGGGCAAGGTCCACGTGTGCGACACGAAGATCTGCTTCCCCCACATCCTTTTTATGGCCCAGCGAAAAAAAAAGTTGCAAAAGTCAGACTAGAGGCCAGCCCTGAAATCCAACAGTAGGCAGCCAAGGAGGTCTCCATGTATTGCCTTAAACAAAACAAAGTTTGGATCCTGTTGTTCACTTCTGCCTGGAAAGTCCCATTCCTCATGTGAAATAGTCCCATTCCTCATGTGAAATAGTCCCATTCCTCATGTGAAATGTGTGTCTGGCTGAGGACACACAATCCACAGGAGACCAAGGAGAGCTCAACCCTGAGCTTTCCTCAGGACTTTCCCTTGGAAAACTTCTTTGCTGTGTTGTTTTCAAACGTGTTGCTACAGGAAAGTCGAGCTCTTAGTTTGCACTGTACATTTTAAAGTAATTTTTAAGTTCTGTGTCTAATGGAAAACCCCTGGGTGAGTGTGGGTGCTAGCAGGATGCAGAACTGACTGCCAGCACACCAAGAGCAGGGATGGAGCTCCAGCCAGCCACTGGGGCATTCACAAGCCTGGGCTCCCTCTGGGACCAGGGCCAGGAGCCAAGGAGCTGTGGTGGGGGAGCAGAATTATCACAGGCTCATCTCCAGGAAATTTCTTAAAGGCATTTTCACTAAAATAAAATCATTTATTAAAAAAAAAAAAAAAGTTTTTTACACTGAGAAAATGGACTTCATTTTCCATCCCCACTAAAGGATATGTAAAGCTGAGTATAGTAAATGTATAATTGTGTTTGAAAGGAAGCAGCACCCAAATTATTAAAATTGCACTTGCATTTTCTGTAAATACTGGATAATTTTTAACTGTAATCATCATTCAACACTCCAAAGATTGACACAATTATAATTAATACCTAGATTGGAAGTAATTATATGGTTCTTACTGCTATATAAATTATACCATTACTGAGTCATATGCACATGATACAAGGTAAGCATGCATTTTTTGCTAACTAGATGACATTAAATATGTATTTTGCTAAAATGAGACAATTCTTTTGCAGTTCAGCAAGATTTTCACTATTCTCAGTATACTATCCCAAAAGAACAAAAATTCACCATTTTGCATTGCAGAACTGCTGGCAGGCATTGCTAGAAGGTAGGCTCTGTTTCACATTTGTGTTTTTAACAGAGAGAACTGCTTCTCTCTATAAAGTATTTGTTTAAGCAGTTTTGTGATATGCAAAGTACCCTGCAATGAGAGAAACACCACTCTACCCCAGCTCTGAGAGGCTGGAGATGCACAGAGTGCCCCAGTCACATTTACTGGCAGGACAATCCCACGAGGGGAAGCACAGGGTGGTTAGTGCAGAATGGGATTTGCTTTCATGGCTGTGAAAGCTCCTGCAGAGCTGCCTGGAACAGGGCAAGGCTCTGGGACTGCTTCCCTCAGGCTGCTGCTGGGGAGGGCCAGGGGGAGTCTAATGAACCCCCACTAGAAGGGAAGCGTGATTTTTTTCCCCTGAAAGTGAGACTCTTCAAGTACCATGACCGAGCTGAAGGCACAGAGGGCTTTTCACACGGAGTCCCTGCTCTGTTACTGATGCTCAGTTTCTCTTCATGGTGGAAAGCCCTTTGGTTTGGCTTTTAACCTTTCAGACAGGGATTTCCCAACCAACTTTGTATCTGTGATTTCCAAAACAATCTGACTTTAAGTAGACTTCTGATGAGAGTGGGAGATTTGCATATTACCTCGTGTTAGCAACGCATTGGTAAAATTGTAGAGAACTAATCCAAGTCTTTCTTTCAGTAACAGTGAAGTGTCCCTGGCACTGTGCTCTGGGTTTGGCAGCATTTCTCACACATCTGCCTGCTCCCTCTTGTGGCGTGGAGCGCTCCATAGAATCCTGTCATCCTGTTATCACAGAATAATCCAAATAATCCCAGCTGCTGTCACACGGATATGGGAGCCAACCAAAACATCCACACTGTAGCATTTTTCTAAGTTACCACTGAATACCTGGGTTATGTGATTAATTTAAAACATATACAGTTAAAAAACAAACTGAATTAAAGGCAGTGTGCTGCCTTCTGTGGTATCTTACCACCATCACTTGCAGGAGTGGTTTAGCATTTTCTGCTCTTGTTAATCTTTTTAACTGAGTGATATCCAACAAAGCTTGTGGGGGATGGGGGGGTGCTTATAAATACTGACAGCACTAGAAAGAAAAAAAACAGCTGTAAAACACTACAGAGAGAGGTTTGCAGCTCTGAAGCTGCACCAACAGCTTCCAGTGCTACTACTGCAAGTGTTGAAACTCCTTGTAATGATGCAATAAGAAAATGCTTTCATTTCTTGAAAATATTGCAGATCTTGGATAAATCTCAGCCAAGTTGGCAGAGTGATGTTGCTCTTGAGAAATTCATCTCCTACTATCAGATATTATCCTAAACCCTTTTGTAATTCTACTACCAGTGCTACAACGCAGGCTTAACACAGGCCTTTGCTTTATTACATGAGTAAAATAAGAAAGAAAACTGGAAATGCTGTTTCTTGCTACATGATAACAACCCTGTATTTCTGTAGTCCTCTCTCCTGCTTCAATTTCTAGTATACTGATCTTACACAGAACTTTTAGTAAAGAACACACATGTATTTCTGTTTGCTTCTGTGCTTTTTATTTACATCTCTGGGACCACCCACAACTCAGCAACTGCTGAGGAAGCAACACTGCTTCAGTCACTTACATTTGGATTTTACCTTTGGCAGAGGCCACAGGAACACTGAAGAAGTCAGGTCCCTCCTGCTCTGGGGGACAGGTCAGTGTCCAAGCTCAGGAAGGGCAGAGTCATATTACTGAAGTCAGGACACTGAAAATGGCAACCTATCACCAAGGGAAAAGATGAAAAAGCAGGAAATAATAGGCCAATCATCTCAGAAATATTCAAGCAGATCGTTTTTTAGCACAGCAAGATGAGCAAAGATGTATTTCCTGAATAGAAACCACATTCAATTGATCTAAGTGGTCTTGGTACAGTCTGACAAATGATTCCCTTCCTTAAATTACAGAAATAATTTCTATGTGAAATTATGACCATATACTTCTGTGAATTAAAATAATAATAATCACATGAGAGAACATTTATCAATTTGTCAAGTCACACAGGTGCACAACATCATGGGGACCACAGGTGGTGACCTGAAAATTCAGATTCCAAAAATCAAGATTAGAAAAGCACCTAGATCACAGGTGTATTTTCCAGCTGCTGGATTCAA